GAGTATTAGCGAGAGATAACAAGACACATCAAATTATACTCGTTCGGTCCCAACACAAATCGATGAGCAGTTACTTCAAATAAACTCAGAGCCGATTGACTGAAATGGGCCAACGAAGGAAGGACCGTCTTTAAAGAGGTTTGTCAGAAATAAAAGCTTGAGAAAAATAGTTTCTTGTGTACCCCGTCCTCCAAATGACATACAGTTAGAAACGTCTAGAAAACTTAACAGAAAAGCTAAGTCTGTTTCTAGCAGAATAAACAATAATCTGACTACCCAAGTTATCTACAATTATTCAGGGTTCTACAGTGTGTGTAACGCGACTGTGATTCCTTCTAAGAAGTAGCATCGCTTTAGAACAGATTACTCATATCTCACTAACTTATCTATAGCTCGTGAAAGTTGATGAGCTCTTAAAGATCAAACGTTAACTATAGATTTAGCCTACATTGACTTCACTAAGGTTTTTGACAAAGTTCTTCTTAACCGGCTATTATATAAGTTAACTAATATCATGATTGAAGGTAATTTATCAATAAGGGTAAAGGACTTCCTCGTTAGGCATCAATAAACAGTACGGGTAGACAGATAGTTCAGTATTTATTCTTTAAAACTTTCTTTCATTTTATACCCAGTGACTACTTTAATGAATGAATCCAAATATTGTGAAATTTTCATGACTTACCATAAGCAGTACATAAATATTCTTTTTGATCCGTGGTTCCAATTTCTTGTACTTCCACTCGTACTCGACCATCTGTTACTGTAAATAATAAAAATAAAAATCTGAAGTGTTTGCTGATGATGCCGTTCAGAAGGACGATGAAAGCTTCACCACCAAGCTATCCAGATCAGAGAACAAAACTCCATCAAAATACAATAATTTTATGAACCAACCAATCAGATTTAAGATAATAGGTCTTGGATTTTGGCGCGAAATTCATTCAGTCATTTGGTTAAATACCACTTTGGCATGATAGCTGATGTCGATTCGTGATGAAAACCATAAATCTAAATCCTAACACTAATGTACAGCTGTAAATCTTAATCCTGATTCCTCGCAGTAATTTATAACCCAATAAGTTGGTCGACATTATCAAGGTCACTTTAACATCACTGAAACGTCGTCCATAAATTACAGTCTCACTTAAACATTTATTTATACAACTGATGTCACATTATTACGAAATGTACAATACTACTTAACATGTTTATGAGTAGCTTTAGGAAATACTGACAGATATAAGTAGTGTGTAACACTAATCAGTAGTGGAAGACCTGTCAAAAGAAGGTTGTAAAGATTGAAATAAAGAAAATGTGAAGGAATTAAGAAATGGAATAATAAAGAAGGATATCAAGGACAACTGACGAAAGATATTTAATGTATTGTTTTCAGATTTTTTCAAAGAACTCTATAATTGTGTTCTATTTACTAAAGTGGTTATCCTCACTAAGTCTTCGTTAGCTACACGTATACGCCATTCCTGTATGCCCTATTAGAATTGAAAAATCTCTCCGTCTTAATTCAATGAGAAGAGCTAACTGATATGTGGGTGAAGATGATAATGATTAATTGTTTGCTTCATTTGACAGGCGTTAAATGAGTTATATATTCTCATATCTTTATTATTATTGATTGTTGTTGGATTATGCCATGGTTGTTGTCCCCCTTTTTGGTGTGGAAATCTATTTACATTCTACTCAGGCTAATCACGTGTTCTTGATCTGAATTGTGTCGAAGTCCTGTAGAATAGACACTGAGTGGAATGAGAATCTAGTGTAAATATTCGTCTAAGATACATTAATGTCGCATATGTGGAAAAGTGGAAACCGAACGGATATAACGTTAGACAAAGTAAAACCGAGCATTATAACACTAACAATGTTGTTATATTAGATGAAGATAAGCCAAAGTAATCATAAGAATGTAATAATAAATATCTTGGAATTTAACAACTTCCATATGAATGTTCTGTTTAGAATTCTATAAAGCATAACAGATTACTGTCGGATTTAAGTTGTTGATTGTTAGCCCAAGCTTTATCTCACCATCATAATGAGATAGAACAAACAAAATGAGCTCTAAAATTATATAAAATTAAAAGATCCAATTAAAAAAAGGACAATTTATAGATCCTTTACACAGAAATGTAACTAAAGATTAGGTTTGCCTCGTTTGTCATTGGAGAGTCTTCTAATGAGATCTTAACTCGTGCCAAAGAACATCTAGGCTATCCAAAAAGATCTCATTATAAACTTATAGTATGTGAGAATATACAAGCCAAAATGGAAATAGTAGAGCATGTTAGTTTCAATAACCAGCAAATTGATGCATATTGTATCGAAATAATTCCATATCGTTTTTTCCAACTATAAAGAAATCTGAATGGGTTTTGTGGAGAGTTTTAGAAATTTCACAGGTTGAAATCATGAGTCGATTGAAGCTAGACGAAACGGCCGTCCAGTGCTTTCAGGTTTTCCATGGTGGTCTAGCTTCAATCGACTCATGATTTCAACCTGTGAAATATAAAGAAATCTGAATGATTGAAGATTTCCATAGATATTGTTAAACCCTAGTAGACTCATTAGAAAGAATGTCTTAACTATCTTTCTGATTTCGAGCGCTTTCCAAAATAACTACACTTAACTCGTTCAAATCTTTCACTTTAAACATACATGATATACACTCATTCACATAAGAAGAGTTACATTTTTTATATCCACTCGCATTAACACAAATATAGCCATGTTGTACATGGAATAACCTTTGACCCAAATAGAATGACTGTAGAATGATCAGACTTGTTTGTTTGTAATAAATAATTGATTTACTATTTAAAGTGGATGAGCACTGCTGAGCTGTAATCACAATTGATTGATCACTGGGTGGTGATCAATGTCATGTGTGTCAAGTCATTATTAGTGCAGATCGAATTCTATCGATCATGATGCAATGTGGCCACCAGCCTAGGTGACTCAACACTGCATGCACTATTGTGAAATTAGATGGTGGTTGGTCACCACCCAGTGACCAATCAATTGTGATTAAATCTCAGTCTTACAGGAGGTTGGTCGCCGCCTCGATAGCTCAGTGGTAACGTCTCTGATTATGAAACTGGATGACAGGGGATCGAATACGTCAGGGAGCACTAGTTCCCTCAAGATTACAAGTACACCTTGCTGACGAGTGCCAAGTAGTAAGGTAACCGTGTCCAGGGTTTCCTGTCGACTACCTCCAACCACGATCTTAACTGCTGAGCTGTACCATACTAGGATGAAAGGGTCATCCAGTGCTTACAGGTTCTCAATAGTGGCTTAATATTGATCGGCTCATGATTTCAATAAAAACAATCTCCACCTTAACAGTTTCATTTATTTCCTGGTAAATGTTGTGTGGTGGAAAAGAACACGGGTTCAGACAAAGGACATTACAGACTATCTCAATTAAATCTGAATACCATAAAATCAATTGTCAATTTGCAAAATATCAATGCATCATATCAAACTGGACTGTTTCCGTTGCAAACACTAATCCATTGTCTCCCATTCCATTGTACATGCGTTTTCTTACAAATTTCATTGTGCTCTCGCTCTTCCTTACTTGATCTTCACCTCATCTTCTGCTGCCAGATATTACGTTTTAACTCGCGACATATACTACTTATATCAATATAAGTAGCACACACCACAGTTGCATGTAACATTTTCAATATTCAATAAATGTGTTGTATTCAATACTGTAATTCACCTGATTTTTTGTTCATTTGATGAATGAGTACTCAATTCAAGAGCTACATTTTACATCATTAGTGTTTATCATTTGAAATGTTTGATTGAATCATACTAAGATGTTCATGGAAGATAGAACCTGATAATTCTAGACACTTGAAATGAAATGTTCAGTAAAAATAACACCCTCTATTATGAGTATTCAGAAACCTGATAAACATTTACAACGTTGAAGATAAACTTAGTCGGTTTAATTAAAGATAATATAAACTAAATCTGATCTTTGTAAAACTATATAAATTGAAAGAAAAGATGGATAGTGGTTAGCAGTAGAATCTAAGATGCGCATTTCGTCCCATTTAGGACTCATCAAATAGATGTACCAGCATCTCAGAGTTGATGTTCACTCTGAGACTTGAACCTAGTATCATTTGTTTCAAATGCCATTGTGTTATCGACTTAGTTACTAAGTCCTGACAGACATTTGCTTGTGTAATGAGATGAATTTTAAATCCACTTGGTTTTGTTTTACTTGAATCTTCCCATTGATGTTTAGAATTACAAATAATCAGTCTCTTATTGGCAATACACACAATATGCACATATACCAATTAGATATTGATCAATTGTAGTTCTAAACATCAATAGGAAGATTCAAGTAAAAAACAACACCAAGTGAATTCAAGTATGTTACTGTTTTTGTGTAAACAAAATATATTAAGGGATGTTTATATTATCTAAGAAACTGAAACATACCATATTAAGATATGAACTTATGGTAGACCGATTAAATTGTAACTGAGGGAAAAGATATTATTTCATTTTATGATATACCAGTCTTGAAGTTGATCTACGGATCAACAAATGTTTAAATATAGTGAATCATTTGGTATGATCTTCACTCATAGTCTGTAAGTTGTGTACATAAATATTGGTAAAAAGGAGCACTGAATACATATGCGCTACACAAGTCATCTGATCTATGTGTGAACTGTGAAACGGCCTGGGTGCCCGAATTGAAGCAGGTGGTTCTCTTGTGGGGCCACACCCGGAGCCTTCGAGCTAAAGGTTGGATGCGCAAGGAAGTGGATCAACGTCAGGAGATGCAGTCCCATGGTATCAGGTAACCAACAATAGGTCCATACACCATTTGTTCCCTCACGATCATAGAGCCTTTGCGCATTATTGGTTTGGAATCAGGGTTTTCCAACTCCCCTAGATGCATCCTCTATATCCACCAATTCATTTAAAGCACCGGTCATTCACTTTTCGTCCTCTTATTTTCGTAAACAAATCCCCCGCCGCAAGACGACAGTGATTAGGACTTCCTTGACAACGGCTGTATATGCGTGGCCATGTGAGAGCAGATAAATTCCATTGAATTCGCATGAAAATATTATGTTATCATAATGAATATGAAAATCCTACAAATGATCAATATACATATGTAGATAAACATGAATAATACTTACCGCTACTTGGTGGAACAATAGGAAAGAATGGTGAATAAAAATGCATGAAACCATCATCAAACCAACAACGACCTTGTAAATTTTCTGGATAATCATTACGTATATTTTCTAAATGTAATTCATCATTTTGTACTTTAGAACGTGTAGCAAAATCACCCATATTTACTTGATGACCACTGGGTAATGCAGGAAATTGCCATCCAATAAATTGATTTTGTGTTAATGTATCCATTAGTGTATCAGTTTCTTTGTCTGTAAAACATGAATAAGAAAAAATTATTGATTGGTTAAGCGAAACTGTTGGGAAGGTAAGACCCCTAGAACTCACTTGAAAAAGGTCTTAATTTTGTAATTTTATTTTGAAAGTTTGAATTTCTTTGTTTTAGCGCCAAAAGTGCTCTTTTCATCTTCATGTCGTATGTCCCATTTGGGAGAATCTTAAACTCTATTGGTCCGTTGTGTCTTTTAGTATGCTATTTCGTAACGCTTCCTAAGGACGGTTTTGTGCTGTATATATACGTTTTGATTTGTATCTGTTGTTATCTCTCGTGATTCTGGCTTTTTGCGGAATATACTTCCCCATTCGGACTTCGACTTCTCTCTCTAGTTAGTGGGGTTGGGACTCATCGGAATAGCTAGTTTATTGGTCTTTGTTTCGTTCACAGATAAAATGAACTCGTAATCGTTTCAAACCTAGCAAATGTGGCGAAGTAAACCTAGTATGTTTGAAACAAACGATTCATATCGCAGAGGCTGAGATTAGTGTTTTGGACTTAACTGGCTGGGCTAGGCAGGAAGCAGGACCGATAAGTACTCTTGGCTGCGCGTACGGGTTTTACTTGTCATTAGTCTGATCGATAATTCACGGCTCTCTAATAGGTGGTATCATCACATATATAACAACAGGGCGTAAAGGCCACACGTTGTAACAGAAACAATGGAAAAAACATCAGAAAATAGATAACTCAGTGATTCAATAATTTTTGAAGAGATGAGTACTGGATTTTGTGATTCGTTTATGACAACTAACAACTAATTAGATTTCAGGTCAACAGAACAAGCTGTTGGTTAATTGTGAGGCGATACTAATAACTAAGTTTTCTTTCAAGTATGTACTCATAATGTTGTTCAGAAGAATAATTTAATTATCAGTATAAGGTTGTGAAAATTGTTGAGCTTCAATTGAGATCATGAACCGATCAGTGTTAGACTATCATTGAAAACCCAGAAGTACTGGATGGTCGTTTTGTCCTGGACTTGGATCTTGGATGCGGAATCATGAATACACACTTCTGAGGAGTCCCATACTATGAAGAAACACTGATCAGTTTGTGGTGGCTGGTACTATGCTAAGCCCACGTAGGCTATTCTAGCTTCTGGACAGATCAACTTATTCATTCTTCTCAAGTGACATTTGGATCTTGTCAATTATTGGCTGTTTTTATATGATCACATATCTGTGGTAATTGCTTACTCTATTCATTATGTCTATGGAACTTGCTTTGTCTGACTATACATACTGAGTTACGCTTGGCCAAATTGAGTTGGCTCAGTCGCCTTCTCTGTTGTACGTTGATTCGTTTCGTTTCTTTGATTGTCTTTTCAGATCAATACACGTATTCAAAATTCCATTTTTCTATTTGACTTATTTTATCCTGTTATTCTCTAACGTGGATTAATTCGACAAAAATGAATGTTGATGATACATATCAAAAGGTATGAAATAGTTATTTTGATTGATCACTGGGTGGTGATCAATGTCATGCTTGTCTAGTCCTTATTAGTGCAGATCGAATGGTATCGACCAAGTTGCAATGTGGCCACCAATCTGGGTGACTCGACACTGCGTGCACTATATATTGAGATTAGATGGTGGTTGGAGGTAGTCAACAGGAAACCCTGGATCCGGGTTTCGTGCTACTTGGCACTCGTCAGCAAGGTGTACTAGTAATCTTGAGGGAACTGGTGCTCCCTGGCGGATTTGATCTCGTGTCACCCAGCTTCACAGTCAGAAACGTTACCACTGAGCTATCCGAGCCATGACTAACCTCCTGTAGGACTGAGATGTAATCACAATTGATTGATCACTGGGTGGTGATCAATGTCATGCTTGTCTAGTCCTTATTAGTGCAGATCGAATGCTATCGATCATGTTGTTTGAATTCATTTAGAGCTTCATTTGAATATATTGACTTATGAACTATGAAACTTTATGCAAATGATCAATGTGTTAAATCTGAAGGAATTCTATTGAAAAGGTTAACTGTCGATGATTTGATATTTTAAGGATGTCGATTTAATCGTTATATTGTAATGAATGAATTGAAAACTAATAATCAGATTACACGATCTATTTCTGCAGGAACATTGTAAGCTACCACGTGTAAAGTAATTCGATAATGAGTATATGTTTGATCATATTACTCAATAACAAAACAGTTCGATTTTATTCTTATACTACAGTTGTTGGATGAATGATGTATTTTGAACTTTAATGCTTCACTTGCTTAAACCCGTTCGCCTTCGTTGAGGTGCACAGGTCCTTTGCTAGCATTCGATATCGAACTCTGTCCTTGGCATTCATTTCTATTTGCTATTCATTCTTTTCATGTCTGCTTTCAATTATCGACGTAATGTGTTCCTTAGGTTTTTTCCGTCTGTAACTATTCTAGAGTTATTGCCTGTTCCAAGACCAGGTAAAGAATGGGGATTAGGTATGGGATCAGCAACTCCATCCCGTAGTAAACAACCTTGCTAAAAAAACTCTAACCAGAATAACCAATTTAAAGCATTTAAACTCTTCCATGAGAGTTAAAGGATCTTCATTCAGTAGAATTATCTCATCTCATGATGAGTGTTAAGACTCTATTACTCTGATTCGGTTTGTATTAAAAGAGAAAATTCATGTCATTTAAAATATAAATTAATTTTAATAGTTGAATTCATGATTAGATGATCATGGAAAACCTGGAAGCACTGGATGGCCGTTTCGTCCTATTTTGGGACTCCTCAGCAGTGTGCATCCATAATCCCGTTGTTAGGATGTGCAGAAAAAAATACCAATAATTATCATGTTAAGTCTAATGGTGGCCTTGGACTTTAAATGTACACTCCCTATTTCACTTGTTAAATACTGTACACATGTTGTTTTCTATTTTATGGTACGATGTGGTCTGGTTGATTGGTATATAAATAGAGTATTTCTGAAATATAATGATTCGTATCTCAGAGGCTAAGACTTGCGTTCTGGACTCAACTTGCTGGGGTAGACAGGGAAGCGGGATCAATCGAGACTCTAGGTCGTTCATTACGTGTTTATGTGTCACTAATCCGACCGATAAATACGCTGCTCCATCTAAACTGCAATCCACACGTTACAACACCCGTCTCTCGAGGATTGAACCCAGCACCTATTAGTTTCGCGTGCGAATGCTTAACGTCTAAACAAGTGAGCCGACTTCCGACTCTGTTAATGTCTAACTTCAACTAATCCACGAAATTGAGCGACACATCCATCACTGTCATCAGTGAGTTAATATTTCACAACAGACCTAGTTGAAATCCACTGGTCACAACTTCTCATTAGAACTTCAGGAAATACCTTTTGAAGCTAGTCACTAATGAGCATATGTTAATTAATATCAGAAGGAGTTTTGTGGATATTTTCCATGGTGGTTATCCATAGTTGTCTAGCTTCAATTGATTCATGATCTCAACGAATGAAATTACAAAACCCCTTCATATTTTGTTTATAATTAGTTTAGTATTCTTACCTCGAATAATACACTTTAATTGAATATTCTGTCCAGGTTGTACTTTTAACACACCTTGATTATTTAATCCACCAACAGTTACTTCATATCTTGAATGTGTTACTTGGAATAGAAATAGAGAAACAAAGGAGAATCAGGGAATTAATATGAAATGGTATATAAAATATGTATTTACAAAACATATATAAATATGATTCATAAAACTTCAACAAAATTGGATAGATGAACCATTCTGGCTGGTAACTGTTTAGACTATCAAAATAACATGTAAGGCAGGATCGTGGATGCGCACTACTGAGGAGTTCCACAATAGGACAAAACGGCCGTCTGGCGCTTCCAGGTTTTCCATGGTGATCTAGCTTTAATTGACTAATGAACTCGACTATTAAACTAACCGAGCCAACAGAGATAATTAACTGTGAAAGAATATTATCACAATGAATGTATTTTGTGCATTTTCAATGCATCTATCTAGAAAGATCATTTTCTTAAGAAGTAGTCACTGATGTTACTATCCAGAACAACAATAAAAACTCTTCATCTAAATTATTCAGCTCAAAATAACTCTGTGTGATGTAGATAGTTATATTATGCTTGCTGTTAACTATAGTTATATGGTTATCCCCGTATAGTTAACGATCAGTTTACAGAATATTTGGTTCCCACACGCCAATCCATTGATTGTCATCTAACTAATTAAACATAGTTTAATATATTCGTTTTGACGTTACATATTATGTGTAGTAAGTCTTGACTACATTGTGGAGATAGGCGTGACATACTCTTGCTGGCTAACAAATACATTACTACTCACATATTCCTCGTTCTATCTTCGTTTGTGATTGAGTTAACTGAAGTCTAAATCAAATACTATCTACATTTGTAGACTGTAATTGGAATATATCACATCCTACGTTGGATTATATCACTGGAGAGTTCGTCAACCAGATTGAAATTATCAAGCATTTATAATTGTGGTTTCTTAGTACCAGACCAAAGCCGAACACGCATTATTTTGGTGAACTTAAATAAATTCCACAACCCCTATACTAGTAATCAACATGTGCTCACTAGTGACTAGCTTCGTGAGGGAATTCTCGGAGTTCTAGTGAGAAGCCGTGACCAGTGGAGCTAATCCTTGTCGGGTAGAGACAGGTATCTACCTCAGTACAACGGATGTTGGTCGCGCAATTTCGTGGATTGGTTGATGTTAGAAACTGTCACCATTGGATGCCGGCTCAGTGGTCCAGTTGGTTAAGCGTTCGCGCGCGAGACCGAAGGCGCTGGGTTCGAATCCCGCGGGGTGCGGGATCGTGGGTGCGCACTGCTGAGGAGTCCCACAATAGGACGAAACGGCCGTTCAATACTTCCAGGTTCTCAATTGTGATGGTCTAACATCAATCGGTTCATGATCTCAATCAAAAACCCAACTTTGTATTGTATTTGTAATAATTAACTTATTTATATTAACATTACTATTGATCCTTATTAACTTTGTTGATACTTTTTGCGTTTATATATCGTCTGGTCCACCACAACATAACTAGAGTAAATTCAGTATGGAATAGGGTTTGAATTTATGACTGAATCAATGAAAGTTGATTTCTTTTCTTCACTAGACCACTAATCTACTCAGACAATGTTCTAATGATGTATAATTAAAACTTTTTAACTCACCATCTATATAATCTGGCAAGGCTTCTACATCTTTTGGTATATTGACTAAGAAATATGGACTAGCATAACGTTGTAAACCTTGATCAGGATATTTATCTGATTTATAATTGATTTCAGCTATACAACGAGCTTGTATACGATTTCTAACATCTTTACCATTCAAATGACTACGTAGTTCATTCAATTTTATTTGACCAGTTTCTGGGTCTATATCAATAGTTTTAGCTAATTCCAATGTAGAAGCTGGTAATCCATTCAAACGTATCACTTCTAAGCCATAATTAATTTCTACATCTGTTATTGTCTCTTCAGTAATTGGTTCATTTGTTGTTTGATCTAAAGAGATTAGGAAAAAATAATGAATAATTCTTTATAAATAAAAAAGAAATGAGCATCTATAATACACTTACTTCTTCAATATATACTTACTTACTTAGTTACACCTGTTACTCCTCGTGGAGGAGCAAAATCAGCCCAAAAACACGCCAACCAGATGAAACAAATCAAAACATTTAAACTCTTTCATTCCATGGTTAATTTCAAAAGAATATACTGAACATTCGTACTATTATGAATAGTATTGTAGTGAACGAGAGCACAATTGGCGACAACTAAATGTATTTGAACACAAATTCTGATAATTATACAGTCAATACTTCATTAGCAAAATGTTAATCAATTGTCTCAAACTTGATTGTTCCTTTGTCTCCACATCAATCATTCTCTGTTCTCATACTCTTTTCGTCGATCCTCTTAATTCTTTGTGCCAGGCATTTCACTTTTGACTGATGGTTCATACTACTCATATCTGTCGACATCAGTAGTATGCACCGCAGCATTATTAAGATATATATCGATTGACTGTATTACTCTTGTTATAACTTATAGCATCAATACGTGACGTAATGATACCGCCAATAAGAGAACAATGACTTATCAACCGGACCAATGACACAAAAACCCGTACAAGCAATCTAAACACTTTATCAGTTTTATCTTTCTTCCTAGCTCTGTCCGTTTTCTTCACAACAGTAATAACAGCCTCCGCAATATTAATCGTGTATTTAAAACATACTGGGTTTATAGACAAACCGAAAAGACCACATCGTACCATAAAATAGGAAACAACGTTTGTACAAGATCTAGCCAGAAGTAGCTGTGAATGTGGGAAACTGTAATTAATAGACTGGGCATAACTCAATAATGGCAAATCGTATAATAATTGTCTATGGATCAAAATAAAGTTTATGATAAGAGGAACATTAATATACATAGTTTAGTTACTTAGCCGTTATGCAATAAAAATATATGTATAGTAATAGTCCAGAAATAGATCCTAGCAGTTACCATTCAGAATTCTCGTCGAGACATAACACGTGATGGAGCTTTCTAGAATATTAACGTGGCATGCTTTTATTGAACAATAGCATAACATGCCTCTTTGTGGATTGGCTAAATTATAATAGCGTTATAACAAAAACTGCTATCTATAAATATCCAACAAATACTTCCCCAGCATTCTTTTATCTTCTGATTTTGTGACTGTAAAGTTCTATATGTTCGAGTGCCGTAGTTGTATACTGTATTCTACATTAATCAAGTAGCGAACATAACAACTCTAGCCTTCTTAAATGTATAGTGACCTACTTTTATCAACAGAACGCGATTAGTTTAATGGAAACAATTATTATTATAATCAATTGTACCAGTGATTGTTTTACTGTACTTGCTTGTTTATCTGTACTAAAGACATTCTCCCTTCCTTTGATTGTGACCTTGCACGAATTCGGTTACGCTTAGTAACCACACTTGTACTCCTTTGGCACGTTCTCGGTATCCTTTCAATACCACAAGATCGCCAACAAATACATCTTGACTACAGTCATCAACTGCCTTCTGATATTTGGCTTACGGGGGATCTTATCGGTTAATTGGCACGTAGTCTTCCTGTAGTGGTGATCATAGTCAAACGCGACTCGACACCACACTAAAAATGTATTTCACTACATACTTTTTATATCATGATTCATTTTCAAAAGAAATAAGATTCAATTTTATATGTGAAACTTTACAGACGACGACACTTAGTTGTTTTGAAATGTACATTCAAATGGGAACATGATTAAAGATTTATGAATATGACAAATAAATTTTGTTTCTTTTTTTGTTCTATGTCTATACATAAACATTGAAGATAATGAATTGTGGTTTATGTAGTTGAATCATCAACCCAGATTAGAAACTATGGGACATGTGATAAACTAAAGATTAAAAACACAACTACAATCGGGTAAACATAAATCACTACTATAAATGGGAATAAGAATTAATGGGGTATAATAAATGTTAAAGTTACTAATATGAGTGATTAAAAAGGGATCAAAACAGGCATAGTAAATGAAATGAATATGAAGTGAACTAAAGTTATTGGGAAGAAATAGGTTTTAGAAACTGTTTATATAAGATCGAATGGTGGTTGGAGGTAGTCGACAGGAAACCCTGGACCTGGGTTTTGTGCTCCTTGGCACACGTTAGCAAGGTGTAACTGTAATATTGAGGGAACTGGTGTTTCCTGGTCACATTGTAACTTGGTCGATAGCATTCGATCTGCACTAAGAAGGACTTGGCATACATGACATGGATCACCACCCAGTGATCAATCAATTGTGATTACAACTCAGTCCTACAGGAGGTCGGTCGCAGCCCGAATAGCTCAGTGGTAACGTTTCTGACTGTGAAGCTGGGTGACACGAGATCGAATCCGCCAGGGAGCACCAGTTCCCTCAAGATTACAGGTACACCTTGCTGACGAGTGCCAAGTAGCATGAAACCCGGGTGCAGGGTTTCCTGTTGACCACTTCCAACCACAATCTTATCTCAACATAGTACACGCAGTATCAAGTCACCTAGACTAGTGGCCACATTGCAACTTGGTCGATAGCATTCGATCTGCACTAATAATAAGGACTTGACACACATGACATTGATCACCATCTAGTGATCAATGAATTGTGACTGCTTGTATAAGCATAAATCTGACTTTACATTGTATATTACTGACGGTTTTGAAATACAGAGATGTGTGTACTCCTTTAGGTAGTATCGGTTTGATTTTATTAGTGATCAAGAATAATGAAACAGATACTGAACGGTCATGGTCAACTGCATTGTACCGAATATGAGATTTCATAACTTAAAACACTCTCCTGGTGGATATTTTATTATGCATCAAGAGATATGTTTCAATAAAAGAGTCAACTCCATAGGAATGGCTGAATAAACGAATGACCATTCAACAGTTCAAGTGGAGCAACTTAGCCTTGTAGTGTCGGTTGCTATATTAAGCCCATATAGCTTATTTTAGCTTCTGGACAAGCCAATATATTCATTCTTCTTGAGTCACATTTTGACCTTGTTAACTATTCGCTTGTCAACCTCAAATATTATTATATAAGCGTACGTATGGGTATTTCCTATCTTACTCGTCACATGTGTGACTATAAATATTCATTCATGCTTGATTAAATAGAGTTAGCTCACATGCCTTCTCCATTGAGTGCTATTTTGCTTCGCTCATTTCTCTTCGCTTTGTTCCTTTGATTGCCTGACCAGATTGATGAGTGTACAAAATCTACTTATTCAAAACTTCGTTCTCGTACTTGACTTATCTCATTCTGTTATTTAGTAACGCGATTCAAATCGATGTTTATATAAGTGGATTGTCGACATGTATATTTCGATAACAATTATTCGTACAATCTACCTGGAGTCCCTCCGGGGGCTACTGCCGGTCCCAAGCCCGGATAAAGGAGGAGGGTTGGACATGGGGTTAGCGTCCCCATACCGTAGAAAACTAACTCGCTAAAAAAACGCTAACCAGAGAAAATTATTCAAACCTTTTAAACTCTGCCCTGAGAGTCAGAAGATCTTCATTTAGAAGAATTATGACGCCTCATGATGAAAGCCGAATTCCTTCGGAAGTTACGAGGCCGATGCCCCTTCTGACAACCAGAGCGACCATTTATTTAGGTACATGGAATGTTCGTACAATGTGGGACACCGGAAGAGCCTTCCAGATTGCTGCAGAAATGAGAAGATACAACCTAGAGGTACTTGGGATCAGTGAAACACATTGGACACAAGTTGGACAACAACGACTAACTACAGGAGAGCTCCTGTTATACTCCGGCCATGATGAAGAAAATTCCCCACATGCACAAGGAGTTGCATTGATGCTGTCCAAACAAGCGCAAAATGCACTTATAGGATGGGAATCTCATGGACCAAGGATCATCAAAGCCTCGTTCAAAGCAAAGAAAGAGGGCATTTCAATGAACATCATCCAATGCTATGCGCCTACCAACGATTACAATGAAGACGCTAAAGATTAATTCTACAATAGGCCTTTGTCAATCATCGAGAAGTGCCCAACAAAGAACCTGACCATTCTGATGGGAGATTTCAATGCCAAGGTTGGAACGGACAACACTGGATATGAAGACATCATGGGACGACACGGACTGGGATAAGGTAACGAAAATGGTGAGAGATTTGCAAACCTATGTGCCTTCAATAAGCTGGTCATAGGCGGCACCATATTCCCACATAAACGCATACACAAAACCACATGGACTTCACCGGATCACTCTACACAAAACCAAATCGACCATATTTGCATCAACAAAACGTTCAGGAGGACTATAGAGAACGTGAGAACCAAGAGAGGAGCTGATATAGCATCAGATCATCACTTGCTGGTCGCCAAGATGAAATTGAAACTCAAGAAGCACTGGACAATGGGGCGGACAATATCACAAAAGTTCAATACGGCCTTTCTCCAGGATACTAACAAACTCAACAAATTCAAGATAGACCTCAGCAACAAGTTCCAGGCCTTTCATGATCTACTCAATGGAGAAGGAACTACTGTGGAGAGCAACTGGAAGGGGATCGAAGAGGCAATCACTTCAACATATCATGAGGTCCTGGGTCACAAGAAGCACCATCACAAGGAATGGATCACCGTTGGTACACTGGATAAGATTCTAGAAAGGAGGAACAAGAAGGCAGCGATCAATACCAGCCGAACAAGAGCAGAAAAAGCCAAGGCACAAGCTGAATACACGGAAATAAACAAACAAGTGAAGAGGAGCATCAGAACCGACAAACGTAAATATGTGGAAGATTTAGCAACGACGGCGGAAAAGGCTGCAAGAGAAGGAAACATGAGACAATTGTATGACACGACAAAGAAACTCTCTGGAAATCGCCACAAACCAGAACGACCAGTGAAAAGCAAGGAAGGCAAGGTAATCACCAACATTGAAGAGCAACAAAACAGGTGGGTAGAACACTTCAAAGAACTCTTGAATCGACCAGCTCCACTGAACCCACCCAACATCGAAGCAGCACCCACGGACCTCCCAATCAATGTTGGCCCACCAACAATTGAAGAAATCAGCATGGCCATCAGACAAATCAAGAGTGGCAAAGCAGCAGGACCGGACAACATCCCAGCAGAGGCACTAAAAGCAGACGTAGCGGCAACTGCACGGATACTCCACATTCTCTTCAATAAGATTTGGGATGAGGAACAAGTACCAACAGACTGGAAAGAAGGACTACTGATCAAAATACCGAAGAAAGGCGATCTCAGCAAGTGTGATAACTACAGGGGCATCACTCTTCTCTCAATACCGGGAAAAGTCTTCAACAGGGTATTGTTAAACAGGATGAAGGACTGCGTAGACGCCCAACTTCGTGACCAACAGGCAGGATTCCGTAAGGATAGATCGTGTACAGACCAAATCGCAACTCTACGGATAATTGTGGAACAATCAATTGAATGGAATTCATCACTCTACATCAACTTCATTGACTACGAAAAGGCATTTGATAGCGTGGACAGAACAACACTATTTTATTCTCTGAAGAAGTGACTTACACTAAGCCACGAAACGTCAGAAAATCCAATTTTCTACTCATTGGGATATTACAAATATATTATTTTTATTTAGAACAACACTATGGAAACTTCTTCGATACTACGGCGTGCCTCAGAAGATAGTCAATATCATACAGAACTCATATGATGGATTACACTGCAAAATCGTGCATGGAGGACAGTTGACAAAGTCGTTCAAAGTGAAGACCGGTGTTAGGCAAGGTTGCTTACTCTCACCCCTTATCTTTCTCCTGGTGATCGACTGGATCATGAAAACGTCAACGTCCGAAGGAAAGCGCGGGATACAATGGACATCTAAGATGCAGTTGGATGATCTAGACTTCGCAGACGATCTGGCCCTTCTATCCCAAACGCAACAACAGATGCAGGAGAAGACGAACAGTGTGGCAGCAGCCTCAGCAGCAATAGGTCTCAATATACACAAAGGGAAAAGCAGGATTCTCCGATACAACACAGAATGCACCAATCCAATCAAAATTGACGGAGAAGATTTGGAAGATGTAAAAACCTTTACGTATTTGGGCAGCATCATTGATGAACAGGGTGGATCTGATGCAGATGTGAAGGCTAGGATCGGCAAAGCAAGAGCAGCATATTTACAACTGAGGAACATCTGGAACTCAAAGCAACTGTCAACCAACACCAAGGTCAGGATTTTCAATACAAATGTCAAGACAGTTATACTGTATGGGGCAGAAACCTGGAGAACTACAAAAGCCATCATCCAGAAAATACAGGTGTTTATTAACAATTGTCTACGCAAAATACTTCAGATCCATTGGCCGGACACTATTAGCAACAACCTACTGTGGGAGAGAACAAACCAGATCTTGGTGGAGGAAGAAATCAGGAAGAAGCACTGGAAGTGGATAGGACACACATTGAGGAAAGCACCCAACTGTGTCACAAGACAAACCCTCACATGGAATCCTCAAGGCCAAAGGAGAAGAGGAAGACCAAAGAACACATTACGCCGGGAAATGGAGATAGACATGAGAAGAATGAACAAGAATTGGATGGAACTAGAAAAGAAGGCCCAGGATAGAGTGGGTTGGAGAATGCTGGTCAGCGGCCTATGCTCCATTGGGAGTAACAGGCGTAAGTAAGTAAGTAAGTAAGTAAGTAAGTAAGTAAGTAAGTAAGTAAGTAAGTAAGTACCTAGAATCAGATATTCGAGGGCCAATGAACCCTCATAAATGTGTGTACTAATGAGAGACTAAGGAAGGACACTCTTAGCGTAGTTGGATGGAATTGTTTTTATAGAGATCTAGACAAATAATCCCATCGAAATTAGTTTGTAATATTACCCAGATAAACCAGAAGGTTTCAAATATCAAAAGGGTGATAGAAAAATGAATGTGAAGTGTAATTTAAATAAATGTAATTAGCTCTATAGTTACTGCCGGTCCCAAGCGCGGATAAAAGAGGAGGGTTGGGTATGGGGTTAGCGACCCAATCCCGTAGAAAACTAACTCACTAAAAAAACGTTAACCAGAAACATAATTCAAACCAAAAATATTTAGAAGATTAAACTCTCTTACTCATTGCAATACAGTTTAATTCTACACTTTCTCCTTTATTAGCTGATAATGCTCCATTCTCATCTAATCCATCAACTTTAATGAAAATATCACTGTCTTTTGTTGTCGCAACTAGAAGAAAGCGAAGCAAATTTATAATGATTAAGATTGATTAGAATTATGATAATACAACAACAACTACTACTATTTCTTTTACTACGAGCACGACTACTACTACTACTACTACTACTAGTACTAAGTAATCGTCTGACTAAACGCTTGAATCGGTTTCTTAAGTTCTTCTAGTAACCCTCAGGTTAAATCTACATGACAACTTGAACACAAGAGAACAGGCGCACAATGTGAACAGAAGGCTATACTTCTAAGTTAGTTTGTGTGCAGAAAATTGAGGTTCCTCACAGCATTTCAGATAACCTTGAGCTTCCGGAAGTTTCTGGGGTCTTATTAAATATAGTTGCAGGATAGATAATCATCTAGTCAGAAATATGACACATGATGCTTCAATTTCTAAATGTTTCTGAGAAACGTCTATTCCTAGCTGATTGAATGAAATATTTCTCAACATTTTCAGGATCCCTCTAAGCTTTTTTAAAGAACACTCTGGATCTCGTCAATAACTATAACCCCTACTATCAAATTAATATTCATACAATTTGTAACTGATAATTCATTCAATTTCATTTCATCTTGGAAAGAACAATAACACACTTCATTTGGAAGTATTGATTGATTTCATTTGAATCGAACCAAAACTGATGTTATTGTCAGTGCCTGGTAACTATTATTAATGGTAATGTGTGATATGCTACCAACACAGTATTCAAAAGTAACTCTCTCATTATAAGGTTTAAAAGTCTTCAGTTAGACTTCTGGACTGATTGCTTCTGTGAGTAGCTGGTATTACATGAATATCCAACACTTTAATTACAATCATTTGATGATCTTAGTTACATACTTCTGTAAGAATATCTAGTGAAAGGGGAATTCAAACAACTTTTGTTCAAAGCTAAATCATGCGTAAACGGTAAAAACACTTACTTGGCTGCATAGGTGCAATAAAATCTCTACGTCCAGTACCATCACTATCAATGATATCGAAACGAAAGTGTGGAGAATAAAATACTTCTTCACTTCGAGATAATTGAGTATCTTCATCAAATGATTCTTCCGATGGAACTATTACACGACAACGGCCAAGAATTGATGTTGTTTGTTTTAATCCTTGCAAAATTAATTGATTTTCATTTACTTCTAATCGGCTATCTCCTATTCCAATTAATGATGTTGTATCAACTGGTGTACCATCTAAACGACTGAATTCCCAACCGTAAATTACAGATTCTTTTGTATGTTGTTTAGTTGAACGATCTTATTATTGGAAAGAAGTACATATATATAATAAACATGAAATTCAAGGAATTTAGCTACTCATCATCTATTAAATAAGTACGTGAACCAAGCTGAAATCATGAGTTATTTGAAGCTAGACCACCATGGAAAACCTGGAAGCAATGGACGGCCGTTTTGTCCTAGTATGAGACTCCTCAGCAGTGCGCATCCACGATATATAACTGCAATTCTTACCACATAATCTATTACTCGTGGCATCACACTTTTTTCTCCATTACTTCCATTGTTAAAAACGTTCTTGTAAATCATTAGAACTCATACTACATATCTCATTTACCAATGTTTACAATTGACTAATTACTGGATGGTGATCAATGTTAAGTATACCAGATCCTTTTTAGTGAAGATCAAATTCTATCAACCATTTTGCAATGTAGCTTCTAGTCTTTGTGACTCGACATTGCATGAACTATATTGATATAAGATTGTGGTTGGAAATGGCCAACAGGAACCCCGCACCCGGGTTTCATGCTACTTGGCACTCGTCAGCAAGGTGTACCTGTAATCTTGAGGGAACTGGTGCTACCTGACGGATTTGATCCCATGTCACCCAGCTTCATAGTCAGAGACGTTACCAATGGACTATTCAGGCAATAAGATAGCTCAATGATAAAGTCTCTGACTGTGAAACTGGGTGATACGGGACTGAATCCGTCAGCGATCATCAGTTTTCGTCAAGATTACATGTACACTTTGCTGACGAGTGTCAAATAGCAAGAAACCTAGTTCCAGGTTTCCCTGTTGACAACCTCAAACCACCATCTTGTTTACCGACGTTTCATGTTTTATCACGACATATATTCAATCTGATTATTTGATGAATAAATGCACCATAACCAGATCAGATCAACTTCTGATGATAGAAAATACGATTGATCATTTATTTATTCTTATGGCTCATTTCTTCTGTATACAAACAATAGTTTCACAATGAGTTAGAACTTCATATTAGACTATCTTTAAATGAACATCAGTAAGTAGTGGAATTCCTTAAAGGTGGCATACAGACTAAATTACAAGCAAAAACCATTGGGATTTGTTGAATAACGAGCCTTAGTAATTGTACAATTGCACTGAATTAAAACAAATATACTTACCTGTAGCAATACATTCTAATTTTACTGAAGAACCTTCAGTACCAGATAGTCTTCCACGATCATCTAGACCAACGACACTTACAGAAAGACGATTTAATTTTTCTAAAATAATAAATATACATATGAGAATAACAGAATTGGTTATTTATAAAAAGACATGTATATTCTAGTCAACTCCACCTGGGGTCTCTCTGGGGGCTACTGCTGGTCCCATGTTCGGATAAAGGAGGAGGGTTGGACATGGGGTTAGCAACCCCATCCCGCAGAAAACTAACTCGCTAAAAAAACGCTAACCAGAAAAAATTATTCAAACCTTTTAAACTCTGCCCTGGGTGTCAGATCTTCATTTAGGAGAGTTATGACGTCAAATGATGAAAGCTGAGTTCTTTCGGAAGTCATGAGGTCGATGCCCCTTCTGACAACCAGAGCAACCATTTATTTAGGTACATGGAATGTTCGTAGAATGTGGGAGACCGGGAGAGTCTTCCAAATTGCTGCAGTATATTCTATTCGTTTTTATTATAAACTGGATACTTCAAATTCGTTGTACAAGTTTCTGACTATCTACACCAACTAGCTCAGTGGGCAAACGTCTATGGCTTAAAATGACAGATATGGGAGTTTGAGAGTAAATGGAAAGATCAGTATTGAGATACAAGTGTATCCAGTTGACAAGTCACATATAATATGAAATTTGCATATCCAAATATGATAAATTGTTTTTGATAGAGTTCTGTTCTCTGAGCTGGATGGTTTGGTTGCGGAGCTAATGATGTCATTCAGAAAAAACTATGAAAGCTCCATGACCATGTAGCGTGGAGTCGAGTCGCGGTTGACTATGATCACCACTACAAGAAGTTTGAGTACCAGATATCAGAAGGCGATTGGAGGTTGTAGCAAGATATATTTGCCGGAGATCTCGTAGTATCGAAAGAATACCGAGATTGTACCGAAAGGGTACCAGCGGGATCACTTAGCAAACGTGAGTGCTTGCAAGGTCACAATCAACGGAAGCCAGAATGTCTTTAGTACAGTTAAACAAACAATTACAGTAAAACAGTCACTGGTAAAACTGGTAAAAATAATTTGTAATATCTTCAGAGATTATTTATACTCTCATGAACGTTCAAGAAGACGAAGACTCTATACGTAAATTCATATGAAATTGTCTTTGTTTCTTTTTCACTTTACATTCATTACCTAATAGCGGGTTATTTTAAGAATCATCTATATGGAGTTGTGGAGTTTTAAATGAGATTACAACTAGACTAATGTTAGAATACTGTTGAAAACGTGAAAGCACTGAATAGTTGTTTTTATCCTAATATGGAACTATTTAGCAGTGAGCATCCACGATCTCACACGCGGGACTCGAACCCACGGCCATTGATCTCTTGTGCGAACAATTAACATATACATCACTAAGCTAGCATCCAATATCGTTAATGCTTCTTACTATAATTTTCAATAGTGGAAAAATTAGATGTATCATGGGCATAATCAGAGTTTGAAGTGGTTCTGTGATGCAAAACAAAAACATAAAACTGTGAGATAACAAACAACAAAATAAAATTGAAAAAAATGGTTTAACATTCAATGACAATGGTGGATATGCCACTCAATATCGTAGATTAGATGAAGTTAGACATTAACACCGTTGGATGCCGACCATCTCAGTGGTCTAGTTGTTAACCGCTCGCGTCCGAAACTGATAGGTTCCGAGTTCGAATCCCGCGAGACGGAATCGTGGATGCACACTGCTGAGGAGTCTCACAATAGGACGTAACGGCCTTTCAGTGCTTTTAGGTTTTCCATAGCAGTTTAGCTTCAATTAACTTATGATCTCAACTATTGACATCTAATATTCATTGTGTTTTTTGTGGGAACCATAAATCGGTATCACTCCAATTGAATATAAATGTTATTGAAATACACATGTCGTCGATTCTCTCATGTAATCATTGATTTAATCCACGTTAGTGAATAACGGAATCAAATAAGTTGAATATGAGAATGTGTTTTGAATATGTATATTTCATCCACTCAATGAGACCAAACAAAGAAAGAGCGAAGTAGATTGGAGAAGCAAAGTGAAGTGAATGAAGCGGAATGAAGTGCAATATAGAGAAGGCGTCTGAGTCGACTCCCATTGCACATCATTTTCGCTTCGCTCTCTTCTCTTCGTTTCATCCCTTTGATTATCTGTTCAGATTAGTGAGTGTACAAAATAGATGTACACAAAAATCCATTCTCATATTTGATTTAATTAATTCTGTTATTCACCAACACAATTTAAGTCTATAATAATATACGAGAATTACCAGAATGTGCATTTTGACAACAATCATTCATACGATCATCCATTTTCATACGAATTGCGTTGCGTTCCTATTCTTTCACAATTGATTGATCACTAGGTGGTGATCAATGTCATGTGTGTCAGGTCCTTATTTAGTGAAGATCGAATGCTATCGGCCATGTTGCAATGTGGCCACCAGTCTAGGTGACTCGACACTGCGTACACTATATATTGAGATTACATGGTGGTTGGAGGTAGTCGACCGTTCTTTTCTCATCGACCTTCTATACTGAAATACATTCTATATCTGACCACCGTTATATACTACTTATGTGAATATCAATAACCCACACCACACTACGGCCTATTTTCATTATTCAATACAACTACATCCCATTTATCCTTACTGAATTGTTGAGATTCTTGTTACGTTTCCCCCCCCCCCAGATATTTATATGCACGATTTCAATCACAAAGTATATTGGCTTAGTGATTAGATCATTGTAGTAGATTATATTTTTGAACTGTCACTCCCCACAGACAAACAAATCTTTCAGTATACTCAGTTCAGTAGTATTATTAGCTCTTTTACTAAGATTCTTAGCTCAATTTCCATCAAAGAAAACTTCTATTTGATAAATGAGTTATACTAGAGTGAGCTCAAAATTAACAAGAATTAGGTAATGTAAATTTTCGATAAATTTTCTTCAGGTTCTACAATTATCTCATATCCAAATTAATGATTCGAAAAATGACCAGGTTAAGGGCAAAGTACATCGTTAAAAGCATGTGAATTTAGGATTGTGATAAACAATTTAATAAAGTACATCCAGCCATTCAGTTTACATCTGAAGAAGAGAGTGATGGCCGAATAGCCTTTTTGGACGTTCTCTTGACTAAGAGAACATATGGGTCGTTGAAAAGGATATAGTTGAACAAGAGCTTAACACCTTGCATAATACTCTCAGGGAGAACGGTTACCCTAGAAAGTTTATAATTAAATATATGGTCACGAAGGCGAAAGTAGGCGAAATACAAACAGTGAAGAAGAAATCCCTGTTCATGCGTATACAATTCAGAGGGGATGCGGCTAGTGAAATACTAACTCAAAGATTACGTAGGACAATACAAAAGTCTTTTAACGCGGGAGAACTGTGATTAGTATTTTTTACGCGCCCAATGGTTACACCGAAGCTAAAAGATGAATCACCTAGAATGACCACCTCATTTTGTATTTATCAGTTCAACTGCTCCTGTGGAGCGAGTTATATTGGTCGAAGTTCTAGAAGTTTACATTTTCGTGCCCGTGAACACCTTCCAGCGTGGCTAAACAAGGGTTTGATGAAGAAAGTGAACAGCTCGATATTGACCCGGTCATAGTGCTAGTATAAACCAATCTTTTTCAATTATTTATAAGGTAAGTAATTTTTTGCCAAAACTGGTCAGACTGAAAGTCATACAAACGGCTGAAGCAGTGGTCATTCGGATGAAGAAATCGGAGGTTTGCGTACAGAAGAAATATATTCAACCACTCCTCCTCTCCTGGTCAACATCTAGGACAATTAATCAGTCAGAATGAGTTTTGTGGAGATTTTAGTAAATTTCACAGGTTGAAATCATGAGTCAGTTGAAGCTAGACCACCATTGAAAACCTGGATTGGTTGAAGTTAGACATTAACACCGTTAGATGCCAGCTCAGTGGTCTAATGGTTAAGTGCTCGCGCGCGAAGCCAGTAGGTCATGAGTTCGAATCTCGCAGGTAGCGGGTTCGTGGATGCGCACTACTGAGGAGTCCCATACTAGGACGAAACGGCCGTCCAGTGCTTCCAGGTTTTCAATGGTGGTCTAGCTTCAACTGACTCATGATTTCAACCTGTGAAATTAATCAGTCGTAATCTTAACTATTGAATGACCTAATTTGACTATGACCTTTCGTAGTTAATTGTAATTGTCCCTGTTATCTTTATTCAGAAATCTTTGTATAATTATAGTTATTATTATTATTCGTATTATTGGTTAAACATCATTAATCTCTCCTATACATGATTCATTCACTTCGCATTCATTCCTCCGTATTACGTCTTACTTATTTGATCGAATTGTAATTGCACTATTATTTCTGTCTCACCCTATTTGACCCATATTTATTCTGATCATGGATTTTAGCATGTACACTTATACACATATACGCAGATTCAAGTTAACATTCTATATGAGTCATATTAACATTAACAATTTTCAATGGTTAAGATAATAAGTCCGTTGAAGCTAGACCGCCATGGAAAACCTGGAAGCACTGGACGGCTGTTTCGTCCTATCGTGGGACTCCTCAGCAGTGCGCATCCACGACCTCGCCCCCTGCGGAACCCAAACCCTGGACCTATCGATCTCACACGCGAACGCCTAACCTCTAAATCACTGAGCCGGTCGGTTTCCAACGGTGTTAATGTCTAACTTCAACTAATCCACGAAATTCAGCGACACATCCACCATTGTCTTCGGTGAGTTACTATCTCACAACAGAACTGGTTTTCCATGGTGGACTCATGATCTTAACCACTGACATTACTACAATCTCCACAAAACCCATCTGATATTAATTAACAATTTTATTGTATTTTGTTTATCACAATCCTAAATTCACATGCTCTAAACGATGTACTTTCCCCCTTAACCTGGCCATTTTTTCGGATTATTAATTTGGATATATGAATTGTAGAACCTGAAGTGAATTTATCGAAAAGAATATTCTTCGTTCAAATATTCGTCTTTTAATCTGATGGGGATCTTTAAACGATTGTAATTTTAAAAAAATCTAACTCACCTCGATCTTTCACATCTTTTACATGATCTACTGGGATTTCTTCTGGATAAACTATTAAATCTACAAGTGTACTATAATATGTAACCCCATCAATATATGATGTAGCTAAACATTGAATACGTGCACTTGGTTGTGGTAGATTTGGTGATGGTCGTGTATCTTCTATAGTCAATACCCCAGTATTACCATTGTTTATTGTATAAGATTGTATTGATTGTCTGGTTAAACCAGCTTCTGGAACTGTTTCTCCATATAGACCAAGTAATCTCCAACCAAAATGAAGATTTCCATCAGTCATTTCTTTTCCAGTTACTGTATCTGTTTAAATGAAATAATATAGATGTGACATAAGTATGATCAGAACCAAATCTATCATTATTATTTAGATAATGAAAGTTGTAAAGCGTTTTTAAGACGAGTATTTTACCCAAACTGGGCAGGGTAGATCTGATGAAGGTGTGAAGGTATGGATCCGCAAAGCAAGAGCAGCATATCCACAACTGAAGAACATCTGGAACTCAAAACAACTGTCTGTCAACCAACACCAAGGTCACAATTTTCAATAGAAATGTCAAGACAGTTCTACTGTATGGGGTGGAAACTAGAAGAAGTGCGAAAGCAATCATCCAGAAGATACAAGTGATTATTAACAGTTGTCTACACAAAATACTTCAGATCCCTTGGTCAGACACACACACACCTGGTTTTTGTGCTAAACTCAAAATCCAGTTTTTAATAAGATTGATGAGGATAAACTCTACTATGGTTAGCGCTCTGGATCTCTCACGTGGAAGTCAATCATGATGGAGTGCGTGTTTCGTTGTTTGTAGTTTTTTTCCGAAAAAACCACTCCATCATGATATGAACGTTTCAAGTGAAGCGCAGTCAGTCATGATGGAAGAAAAATTACTACGTAGCAAAAGAAATAGGTCTAATTCATTCAATAATAGAAATTATTCCAGAATAACTACAAGTATAACCGTAATTACTGACTACGATAGATTTAGTTAACTTGACAACGTGGAGTTTACCCCCAGCCAATAAATCTAAGCTTATGGAAGAAAGCTTACAAGGATATAGCCACACTTGATGATTAACTAGTTTATAAATCATAATAAAGAGCTGTTTGTAGCATTATGCAGTAGAAATGGCTCAGTGTAAAAGAAAAAAATATTTTAAGCGCTGTTATTCTAATTTAGATTGTTGCCGCCAAATACCTTGGTACGATCGAGGGTCGAGAGAGTCGACTCACCCTCTCCAAATGCTCATAGATGGCCACGTGTATACGACTACTATCAAGAAAGTCCTACTAACTGTTTTCTCACGGCGGGAGTGTTGTTCACTAAAGTGACAGAACGAAAAACGAATGTCCTGCGCTTTAACCGGTTTAGTGGATATGGAGGATTTACCTAGGGGAGTTAGCGCATATGGGATCCAGGATCCTGAGGGAATAAGTGACGCATGAAACTACTGTTGGTCACGGGCTATCATGGGATTGCATTTCCAAACGTCATTCGATCACCTTGTGGACAGTGGCCTCCTAAGAAAAATAACTGGTTCAGTTTGAGCGCCCAAGCAGTATTCCAACCTTTAGACAAATCAAATGACAAAATGTGGCACATTTATACTTGATGCCTCCTTCTACTAATGTGACGAAGTTTAAATTCACTTGGTATTGTTTAATTGAATCTTCCTAAATGATTTTTTGGACCGCAATTGATCAGTCTTTTATTGGCATATGTGCATCTTGTGCATATTGCCTCGATATTTCCTTAGTTCACAAGTATTCCAATCGATGTACCGGCATCTCAGTGTTGATGTTCACTCTGGGACTCATAACATTTGCTCAACTGTTTTATACTCATTTAGAAATGTATCTGATGTCTAGTTCATTCTTTCACTATCTCAACTTGATAGTAGTATGAAATGTTTAATTTCTATAACACTTACCATAAGCAGTACAATTTAATTGAACATTTTCACCATCTTTAATTGTAACATGATTAGTTAAATCATTTTTACCACCAATTTTCAAAGTGATTCTTTCTTCACCATCTGAAAATGAGACAATTTACAAAGATTAATTAAATGATAACTTCTTCTTAATGCATACGTCAAGACCGAAAGGTCTTAGTTTGGAATCTCATGAAGTGAGATCGTGGATGTGCACTGCTGAGGAGTCCCACAATAGGACGAAACGGCCATCCAATGCTCCCAGGTTTTCCATGATGGTCTAGCTTCAATTGACTCATGATCTCAATTAGTAAAATTACTAATAATATCCACAAAACCCCTTCTGATATATTTATTGACTTATGACATTAAAGACTAGACAGCGCTATACACAGAATCTGTATAAATATTACTAGACAGTTAGGAATAATCACATTTGATTAGGAAAAAACATACAATAGATTCCAAAATTTTCCGGCTGGGTTCAAAGTCATTTATCATACGTAGTTACCTTTCTAAATGAAATTACTAACAATTATAATGACCGAGTTTGTTGAGCAACTAAACAAATCGCTTATATCCATGCATCTAGACAACTTTGAACTTAGATTCAACTGGGAAAACGTTGAGATCTTGAATAGAGGGGATTTTAAACGTATCGGAGAATTTTTAGAAGTTTGGAATTCAAATCAATCAGCAATCAACAACCCCATTGAAATCGATCCAATTTATCAACCAAACGGAAAAATCATGGACAACTGTAAGACCATATATCAGATCAAAGGGAGATACAATCAAATTAATGAGGTAGACAATCATGGGTTAATGGTCAACAATAACTAATCAAGATCGAGGTCATATGTAGAGACGTTCGAACAGTTCACTTCTACCTGAAGTTTATGCTAATGAAGTTGCTCAGAAGAACAATGAAAGCTCTACGACCAAACTATCCAACTCAGAGAACAGATTTTCTCCTGAGCTACAAACTCAATTTTACAAATTTTAAGGGTTATTTTATCACTTCGCTAAATCACCCTTAATACCACCTTCAGACTTAGTCTTTTAGGGTTTAGTTTTCTTCTCAAAGTTCCAAATATTCATGCCCAAAAGACACTTGAAGCGAAACATTGAAACAAAGACGATAAACCTGTAGAACATGATCTCTAAAAACTTCCAGGGATATTCCTTTCAAGTATATATGGTGTGTTACCATAAATTAAGAGTATACTAAAGAGGCTAAAACTGATATGTCTTAAATTATTCAAAATCAGTTTATTATGACATTTATGTATTTCACAGGTTGAAATCATGAGTCAGTTGAAGCTAGACCACCATTGAAAACCTGGAAGCACTGGACGGCCGTTCCGTCCTAGTATGGGACTCCTCAGCAGTGCGCATCCACGAACCCGCCCCCTGCGGGATTCGAACTCAGGACCTACTGGTTTTGCCAGGTCTGTTTATGTGAGGTCTGTTGTGAGATATCAGCTCGCTGAAGACATTGGTGTTCGGTGGCGCAACTTCGTGGATTGGTTGAAGTTGGACATTAACACCGTTAGATGCCGGCTCAGTGGTCTAATGGTTAAGTGCTCGCGCGCGAAGCCAGTAGGTCCTGAGTTCGAATCCCGCAGGGGGCGGGTTCGTGGATGCGCACTGCTGAGGAGTCATATACTAGGACGAAACGGCCGTCCAGTGCTTCCAGGTTTTCAATGGTGGTCTAGCTTCAACTGACTCATGATTTCAACCTGTGAAATTTACTAAAATCTCCACAAAACTCATTCTGATAATTTATGTATTTATCATTCCTATTCAATCTTACCTCCACTTATCCATCTTGTTCCACCTGGTTCAATATCTGATGTTTTCACTGGTTCAGCTTTATCACCACCAAATACCCGAAAACTGAAATCTGGTGAAATGTAACGAGCTGTATCATTTGATGCAATACATCGTATTCTTAATTTATTTGCTGTAGGCGATAAACCATGATAATACAATTGATTATTATTTAATTCAATTTGATCAGCAATTAGATTTGGATGAACACGTTCACCATTAATACGTTCCACTTCCCATGTATAAGTTGCATCTGGTAGAATAAACTGTAAGTAACCATCTGGAAAAAAAAAAGACACATTGGAACCGATGAATTGCATTTTATGCCTTGTTATAGATTTACTGATTAGTTGAGGAATAGTAAGCAATATAATGCTTTGTTAATTGAATTCTATCAATCCAATTGAACTATGAACTATTGGATCGTATACATCATGATTTAATCATAGATGACAAGATGCTTTACACTTTTCACCAAAAAAGTATCTGAGTTCTTGAAGAAGATAATGTTCCCGATGAGATCCAAATGTGCTTCGTCTAATGTCACAGGAAGAGATATAATAACTAAACAATTTGATATAAATCTGATTTCCTATTTTAATCTGATTGATTTTAATCATCCAACACCCCCATTTACTGTTGAGAATGATTTACGATATAACTTGAGGGTTTTTTCACATGAATTACACTTATGATTAAAGGAAATTCAGTTGCTCAATTATAAGCACTTGCATGAACTAGGCATCCCTTTTAATTCCACCTGTAGTTCTTCTAGGGTTACTGTCAATCCCAAGCTTGGGTAAACGATTTTGTTTTATTATTATTTTATTTAATCATATAAAAATTGATACAAAGAGGCACCAGTTAGATATGCACCACATAAATCAATTGATTTGTGTAAGGGCTGGAATATCGCCAAGGTGCCCAAACAGAACCAGGCGGTTTCCTTAGGGGGCCACACTCGGAGCCTTCGACCTAAAGGTCTGATTCATATTGCAGTAGAGCAACGTAAGGAGATGCATTCCCATGGTAGCCGGCGATCAACGATTGATTTATACGCCAATCGTTCCGTCAGGATACTGGAGCCCATGTGTACCACTGGTTTGGAATCAGGGGTTTACAACTCCCCTGGTTGGGTTGTTTATATCCACCAACCTGGTTAAAGTGCCGAACATTCACTTTTCGTCCTCCCAATTACGTAAACAACACCCTGGTTGCGGGAAGGTAGTGGGAAGAACTTCTCTGGTAGTGGTTGTATGCACGTGGTCATGTCAGAACATCTATAGAGGGAGAGCTGACTCTTCCCACTCTCAACCGTACAAGGGAGTTTGGGGGCAAGGGTTGAGCATGGAATTAGCAACCTAGTCCCGTAAACGACAAGTCTGCTTAAAAGAAACACTAAACAATCTAATTAAACAATGAATTCATTATTCTAACTTAATGATAATGAACTTACCATATGCATTACATGTAATTGTACCATTAGAACCTTTTTGATTTTCAATTAAACCGGATTCACTCAATTCATTAATACGTACATAGACTTTATGGACTTAAATAACAAGAGGTAAAGCAAACAAAGAACATATGAATTAGATGAAGGAAAAAAATTGTTAAATCCAATCTAAACTTTAATATCATTTGAGTTTCATAGGTAAATAGTGTAATGTAAGCTTGTTATTTGGGATGATACTATGAATACAATGGGATAATAACAAATCGAATGTATTCACTTTAAATCGGTAAGGTCTCTCTAGTTCTTTTGTCTTTTAAATAAATCTATGAATTTTGCATACTTGAACTATTTTTTTCACGGATTTTATTCCACCGACCGCGGTTTCTCTTAACGGAACTCCGAGAATTACCTCTAGAAGCTAGTCATTAGTGAATACATGATAATTACCGGTATCAAGCGTGAGACAGGTATCCATTGAAAACAATGAAGAATGGTCGCTCAGTATAGTGGATTGGTTGAAGTTAGTCAGTAATACCTGTTGGATACCGGTTCATTGTTCTAGAGGTTAAGCGTTCGTTCACGAGACCGAGGGGTCCTGGGTTCGAGTCTTGCGTGTAAAATAGTCGATGCACATTGCTGAGGAGTACCATACTAAGAGGAAACGGCTGTGCAATGCTAACAGGCTTTTAAGTAGTGGTCTAACATTGATCAGTTCACGATCTTGTAATTCTTGTAATTCTGTGTAACACTCCATTATGAATATTAGCTAGTTCTAAGGAAACCTGGAGAACTACGAAAGCCATCAACCAGAAAATACAGATGTTTATTAACAGTTGTCTACGCAAAATACTTCGGATGCTCTAGTCAGACACTATTAGCAACAACCTGGTGAGGGAAAGAACAAACCAGATCCCAGCAGAGGAAGAAATCAGGAAGAAGTGTTGGAAGTGGATAGGACACATTCAGGAAAGCACCCGACTACGTCACAAGACAATCCCTCACATGGAATCCTCAAGGCCAAAGGGGGATAGGAAAACCAAAGAACACATTACGCCGGGAAATGGAGATAGACATGAGAAGAATGAACAAGAATTGGATAGAACTAGAAAAGAAGGCCCAGGACAGGGTGTGTTGTAGAATGCTGGTCGGCGGCCTATGCTCCATTAGGAGTAAGGAATTAAGGAAGGAAGGAAGTAAAATACTTAGAACTATGTAGTATCGTATTCATTATATGCAAATCGTTGTGTTAGAGTGACTTGATCTCACAGATCTGTTGTTAAAATAAGTGATACTTTAATTTAATAAGTCTTCAGACCTTTTTTAACTAATTTCATCTAAGTATCTATATGGTATAACCATCAGCTATTGGATATTATGTGTTACAAATCTGAGTATAAAGATATTCGTTGTTGATAGCTAGACGGATTTCTTATATTAACTAACTAAATCATTGAGTATCAAAAAATGTTATGGTTGTTGCTGTGCTAATGAGGTATGGCAACTTGAACCAATGTATATATATGCCTGGTCCTACGTTGTAACTGACTGACTGACTGACTGTTCGAAAAAGCATCTAAATAATACAAATTAAGACTTTTTTTAAAGTTCTATCACTTACGCTCTACTCGAACTTGATCTCTTTCAATTATCTGACCAATAGAATTCAATGCAGTACATTGAAATACACCAGTATGTCTACCTAGAGCATCAAATTGTGGTGAACCAATTGTTGTCCAATAATGACGACCAGAATGTATAATTAATCCTTGCATTGATAACCAATGTGAACTTAAAGAATTACGAGTTCCATTAAATCTATCAATTGACCATTGTAAACCACCTTCTGGTGGAGGATGTCCATAGAATGTACAAATTAACTAAAATAAGGAAAGTATTGTTAATGGTTCATAGATGTTTTTACCATTTATATAATGTTCTTTTGTATAACCCAAGAGACAATAAGTGGATCAAAATGAGCTTAAAGATTCAGGTAATCAAAATATAGGAACAAATGACAAAGTTTACATGTTCAGTGTTCATGATAATCATTGTGTATTTAATAGTCGATCAATCAGTTAAAATTGAAATAGGGCCTGATAGAAATGTACTTCAACTCTAGTTACCATACCATATCACTTAGACGGAATAAAGTTACCATAGTAACTAACGAAGGAGTAAACCCTAGTGAGAGAGACTAAACGTTGAGGAACTTTATTGAAAGAGAATTAATTAAATTCGAGCAATAAAATGTTTACAATGATACCAAAACTCAAAACTCAAGAAATGACAGATTTGAATGCATATGAGCCACAGATTCAATTAAGCAACCTGATGGGTCAGTTCAAAAGACACTGACTTCATAGACGGATCTTATGTTTCGATTTGGCCTCCTTAGCTTTATTTCAATCTACTCCTACGCTTGCTAACACTGCCCTTAAAGATAGCCGGTGGTTTTGTATACTTAATACTAATATCAGACACTTGATCATTGAAGATTTTTAAACAAATACCTTGTGTTTAACTTCAGCAACACACGATCGTCTTACTAATAATGCTATGAAGTTACCTATGACCAAGTATCTATATCCTCATCACATTTATTAATTTTGCCGTCACAGAGTAATGCAAAGCGAACTACTGGGCAGTATATTCTTTACTTCATGTAAGTTGATTACTATTCACTTACACGTTCATTGATTCTATATCTATAAACCGTTTTGCTCTCTCTTCTTCCATACATTTCATTATGTAACATGTTTACTTTAAACTGTCGGACTTTCTTTCAGTAAGAAGGTATTCCACTTTGTATTATTCATAAAAGTTCCTAGTTTGTTTATATGATATTAACAATAATTTGGATCTGATGACAGACCGTTTTGATTTGAAGTCAAATAAAGGCATACTATACATAAGATTGTTTAAATATATTCCTGATGAATACATAAAATGCTAACAGCATAATATATATATATCCGGTCGCGGCCTGGATAGCTCAGTGGTAACGTCTCTGACTATGAAGCTGGGTGACACGGGATCCAATCCGTCAAGGAGTACTAGTTCCCTTAAGATTACATCTACACCTTACTGATGAGTGCCAAGTAGCACGAAACCCTGGTCCAGGGTTTCCTGTCGAGTATAATTTGACTAAGTAGTACTATGGTGTAAGCTACTTATATTCATATAAGTTCACCAATGTACTTTTAATGGAGACTATTGATTTTGTGTGCTAACAACTACGGGAAAAACAAATCAATATTGGAACTCCTGAGGTTAGTCTTAAAGAATCACGTTTGAAATGTACCATGTATGTCCATTTTGTCTTTAATATCACATATTATATATAAATTGGTAGTATAGCAATGGGTTCACCTCTAGGTCCTATCCTTGGAGATTTTTTTCAAGCGAAACTAGAAAACAAACCTCTCAAAGAGGCTATCAAGAAGCTTGACTTCTACTGTCGTTACCTTGATGACACTTTCATTATTGTCGATCAGAACAGTTGGAAAGAAGAACTATTGGGACTATTTAACAACAAACATCCAGCAATTAAATTTACATGTGAAGAGGAAATACATAATAAACTATATTTCCTTGACGTTTTGTTAAATTGAAAAGAAAGTGGTTCTTTCAGTAGAAGTGTGTATAGGGAAGGTTCTTCATCAAGCCACTACACACATTTCTTAAGCTTTCTACCTCTTCGTTGTAAGAGAAACTTAGTCAAATGTCTGGCAAATAGAGCTATTAAGATATGCTCAGTCGATACAATTAATAAGGAATTAGATCTCATTTATAATATGTTGATTGAAATAAGTTATCCACAAGGTTTCCTGAAGAAACACTTGTGTGTAACAAATAAGAAAATAGCGACATTGACGGCTAATAAGAAACCTCTTTTCTTGAAGCTACAATTCAATGGAGATGTAGCTAGTGATGTATTACGTGATAGACTGACTAGAACAGTAAAGAGAACGTTTAATGCTGACAACTTCTGTCTATCGTATTCGATTCGATCTATGGTGATTCCCCAACTAAAGGATTCGTTACCTGGTTATACCACTTCTATGTATATTTACGGATTCATCTGCTCCTGTGAAGAAAGCTATATTGGACGCACTACCAGGCAACTGTATACTTCAAACCTTTTAAATCATCAATTCAATTGTATTAATGGTAGAATTATTATTGTACTTTTTAAAATTATGATTTAACTTACTTCAAATGGTTGCCCTTGAATAACACGAACATAACGATCACCGGAATCTTGGAATATTTCATTCACATTCGATAATATTCTTACTTCAGGAGTGATTGGTGTTTCATAATCTACAAAAAAGATGAATGTAATCGTGTAATCATGATTATAATCTAAGTATAGTTTAACAGCTTTATGACTATAAAAGAAAATTAATTCAATCATATACCGACATCGTGTTGTTCAGCTCACTGTACATTAATTTTATGATGTTATCTTATTATATTAATGAAGTACAGATCTTTGAATCTCCACCTGGAGCCCCTCTGGGGCTACTGCTAGTTCATTCTGTTCTGGGGTACAAGCCTGAAATGTGTAAATTGGTTACAAATCGATTCGATCATTAATATCTCGAAACTATTAGTTAGTGGAATTACCATTATAGCCAAACGATACGTATTAGCAGTAAGAACTTATCAAGTTGACTCAGTAATGAATACTGATCAACTGAAGTCTTTCATAAACTTATTACATCCTAAGTAAAGATGAATAGTGGCTACCAGTGGAATTCAGGACGCGCGTTTCATCCTATCTTGGACTCGTCAGATGGATGTACTTTCATCTCAGATTTGATGTTCACTCTGGGACTCGAACTAATTAAGCCATTACCAAGGCAATAATCACAGTATGCACATATGTCAATAAGAAACTGATCAGTTGCAATCCTAAACATTAATCAGAAGATTCAAGTAAAACAATACTAAGTGAAATAAACTTCACCCCATTGCACAAGCAAGTGGCTATCAGGACTCAGTAACTAAGTGGATAACGTGATAGCTTTTGAAGCGAACGGAGTGAACATCAACTCTGAGATGCAATTACATCCAGCTGACGAGTTCTACATAGGACGAAATCCTCGTCTTCGATTTCATTGCTAGCCACTATCCATCTTTGCTTATAATGCTTGTAAATTAAGGCAATATCGCGGAGATACGCACAGTATGCATTTATGCCAACAAGAGACTGATCAATTGTAGTCCTAAATATCAATGGCAAGGTTCAAGTAAAATAATACTAAGTGAATTATTACATCCTAATTCATTAATCATGTTGACTATCTCTTTAACTCTATGGTATGTGACTTCACTAAATTTTAGTCTGTATCTAAATGGTAATATCAATATTTTCTTACAATTACATCTATCTGACGAGGTTCCGTCGTTAGTCACTATTATCATGAATAACATTTGATAGGGTATTAGCCAAAAAGAAACAACCTCTACAGACACATACCTGTCGCTATTAAATCATATGGAATATATACTTGTTTCACTGATGATGAATATGAATTCACTGATCGACATGTATAAATACCAGCATCCATTCTAGGATCAAATTTATCTATTCCATTATGTGTCCATTTTAATACAGCCTTATTAGGAGTTGTTGTTATTTGTGCCTAAATAGATAATAAAAAATGAAAGATGATCATTTCAAAATATTAGAGAAGTACTAAGACAAATGATAACAATGAAATGTTATTATGTATAGTTAGAATCAACCAGTATAATTTTCTTACAATCATCATATGAATGTATATGTAAGGTGAGACTATCATTTATGAACGAACCAATTAGATGTAAGATAACAGGTCTCGAATTTTGGAGCGAAATTCATTCATCCATTTGATTAAATAGAGTTTTGGCAATATAACTGATGTTAGTTCGTGATGAAAACTCCAAATACCCTTAATTCCTCATAGAGGTTTTTAACCATCATATGGTCCTAGTTACTGGGTGGGCATTTTCAAGGTCATTTTAATGTCGCTTACCTGTTCCTTCGGAGAAAGTAATATCTGACTTACTAATAGATAACTTGAACAAAAATGTTGGTGAGTATTAGATTTTCGTGGTATACATAGAATAAAACGAAGTCTACATTCATTTCTGATAACAGTCATGTGGTACATGAAACTAAACCACTTATAACGAATTTATTCGGTAATCCATCCAATTTTCTTAAAAAGTTTTGATTTTGTTTCTTACATATTACAACAGCTTTATGGATTCGGATAAATAACCCTAGTAATTCTTTTCTAATGAAGTTTATACCATCCCTACACCTTTATTACACCCTAAAAGAATACTTAATAGACAATTTTACTATTTCTTTCTAAATTGAGATCATGAAACGATTGATGCTAGATCACCATTGTAAACCTGCAGGCACTAGAAGGCTGTTTTTGTCCTATTGTGGGATTCCTCAGCAGTGCGCATCCACGATCCCACACCCAAGGGATTCAAACCCAGGACTTTCAATCTCCCGCGCGAACGCTTAAACTCTGGACCGCTGAGTAGGCATCCAACGGTGTTAATGTCTAACCTCAACCAATCCACCAAATTGCGCGACTATCTTCTATTGTACTGAGGTGGATACCTGTCTCTACTTGACATGGCTTAGCTCCACTAGTCATGGCTTCCCATCAGAACTCCGAGAATTTTCTCACGAAGCTAGTCACTAGTGAGCACATGGTAATTAGACCACTGAGCCGAGATCCGACGATGTTAATGTCTAACTTCAACTAATCCACCAAATTGAGCGACACATCCACCATTATCTTCAGTGAGTTAGTATCTCACAACAGACCCGTTTGAGTCCTACTGGTCGCCGCTTCGCACTAGAACTCCAGGAAATACCATTTGTGGTCAGTCACTGGTGAGCAAATGATGATTAATATCAGAAGTGGTTTTTGTGGATATAATGGTATTTATCATGGGTGCTCATTGTTGAGGAGTCCCACGGTAGAACGAAACGGCCGTTCAGTACTTCTAGGTTTTCCATGGTGATCTAGCTTCAATTGACTTATGATCTCAACTATTATATTATGAATCGTTAAGAAACCCACTCCACTATTCCCACCCCACTAAACTCACAAATTACATTGACTGATTTTGTAGTGTCGGTTACTATGCTAAACCCATATAACTTATTCTAGCTTCTGTACAGGGAAATTTATACATTATTCTTGAGTCATATTTTGACCTTGTTGATTATTCACTTATCCACCCTAGCTGTTTTTTCATATGAGCGTATATGTGTGCACTTCTTATCCTATTCATCACATGTCTGTAACCTATTTTTGTGTGACTATGAATATCGACTAACACTTGATTAAATGGAATTGAATGACACGCCTTCTCCACCGCGCATCGTTTCGCTTCGCTCGCTCTCTCTCTCTCTCTTCTTCCTTTCCCTCGCTACGTCTCTCTGATTGTCTGATTCGATCCAGGTCAAAGAATAAAACTTCATCAAAATAGATTACTTCACTTTTGTATCTCGAAATATCTCGAAACAATTCGAAATTTTATACATTTTGACTTTCTTAGCTAAAATAAACGATTCATAGTGTATCTGGAAGACAATTCAGACAAACGAAAGTTAATCCATTTGTAGTGTATTAGGGTTTCGTTCAGTGTATGGAAGGTTACGTGTTTGTCATACATTATCTACCTCTTTCCTAGTGCAAAAATAATATATAACTATTTTGATGAAGTTTTGTTCTTTGAGCTGGATGGTTTGGTCGTGCTCAGAGAACGAAACTCTATCAAAATCATCCATCTGAACTACAAATCTTCTCTAACATCTCAATATATAACTATCTTATATTATCGGTTCGAACAAAACATCTCCGAATATAGTTTAAGAGACTCACTTTGATTTGTCATATCATTCAATTTAGTGTTCCGGACAATCAGACAAAACAAAAATCTAATGAGTATAGAATGCTTTGAAGTTTGATTTATTTTGTTCATATCAAATATTAAATGAATTACTTAATGGATGCCCCCAAATACCCTGATACGGCCAAGAGTGGGGAGAGTACGCTCTCCCTATCGAAATGCTCTCACATGGCTACGTGCAAATAGTCTCTGCCAAGGAAGTCCTCTTCATTGACTTCTCGTGGCGGGGGTGTTGTTTACGAAATTGAAAGGACGAAAATAGAATGTCCGGCGCTATAACCGGGTTGGTGGATATAGAGAGTTCACCTAGGGGAATTGGAAAACCCTCATTCCAAACCAATGATGCACATTGGCTCCAGTATCCTAAAAGGACAAATGGCGTATGAACCAATCATTGGTCGCCGACTACCATGGGACTGCATCTCCTTACGATGCTCCACTGCCTTGTGGATCAGACCTTTAGGTCAAAGGCTCCGAGTGTGGCTCCCTAAGGAAACCACCTGCTTCGGTTTGGGCACTCGGGCAGTATCACAGCCCTCACACATATCAAATGAGATTTGTGTGGCGCATATGTAACTGGTGCCTCATTGTACCAATATCTATGTGTTCAAATAATAATTATTATAATAATACTTACTGGATCAATTGGTTCATCTTGACGGGTCCAAGTTACTTGTGATTCATACTTTTCATTATCATCAATACATTCCACCTTATTTGGATAAGGGGAATTTGGATCAGTATGACTAACAAGTCGAAGTTTAGGAATTTGTTCCACTATAGAATTGAATTCATTGTAAAATTATCAATTAATAGATGATGAGTAATAAAGATTTGTCATTATAGTAAACAATGAATAATGTCTTAATGAAATCATATTTATGGAGATATGTGCATTCAGAAGTACGTTTATGTCATTCAATACAAAGTTACCCAATGTTGTGGATTGATTTCACATAGATAAACATTAAAAACAAGATGAACTGGATTGTTTAGTCGTTATAAGATGCGACCATTCATCAATATCACCCCCTAAAGATCTTTCAGTATCTCAGAATGTCTAATATTGGAAATATCAAGCCGTAGATATCAACATTGTTGATCTAAATGTAGTTTTCTTGTATTTCACTCCTAAATGACCAACTAAAGGTTGGACACAATTGAATCTATGAGCCAAAAACACGTTGAACTTGTCATCGGAATATGCCTTACTATAAAATCATGAGGTATTTATGTTTTATTCCAAGTTGAATAGCCTAACATTGGTTATGTCATCTGTCTCTAAATGGGGTTTTTCTCTTTCATTCAACACATTAGAATTCGAAATTTATGACGTTGATTATGAACATTCTACTATGAGAATTAGAATAACTATTGAGATGGCTTACGAGAACTACGACGGAGCCTTCAGAGACCCTAGAGGAGCCGAAGAGTTCCACCAATCAGAACACAATGGATCTTTCTAGTATCAAAGTGGCATGCTACTATTGGTTCGTAGCATAACGTGCCTCTTCACGGATTGGTTGAATTATAATGTTGATACAATAAATGCTAATGTCTATAAACGCCCATGATTTTCTGTACATTTTGATTCTTGTCCAACAAACACTTTCCCCAGTTTCCTTCTGTCTTCTTATTTTGTGACTTGGAAGGCTATAGTGTTTAAGTGCTCAAGTTATACGTGGTTTATCATGAATCTAACCTTCTAGATATAACAATAATAAACAGTTATATCTCAGTAAAAATAAAGTTGAATAACTTACAAGTATCACCAGCTAGAACTTCTAATTTCACATAATCAGAATATCCATATGCACCAGTTTTTAAATCGGTTCCTTTACATCGAAATCTAGCTATCCAATTAGGTTGTCTACGTAGACCTGCTATAACCATTGTATCATATAGAGCTTTAGCGCCTAACATTGGTAAATCATTTGGTGATGGTTGTGGTCTAGCTCTTTCATTACTATTAGACAATTCTTCTTGAATTGATGTAACTTTTGTCTCCCATGCAATATCAGCTTCTTCTACAGTTTTATTACGCCATGCATCTTATAAATATTAATAAGAAAAATAATTAGATTTAAATAACCGTATTTTCAATAAAGCAACATGATGCAAAATAAATACCAGATTTATTTCTTTAGCAAAGGCTGTAACAGAATGTATCAGTAGGAGAAATAATAGGAATTGAAGAGGTTTTGAGTGCTGTTAGAGGTATAAGAGCAGTTATCTCTTCCACGTTGCTCACACCATGGATAGGTTCTTCTGGAGGTACCTGAAAAGGAAACTGGATTAGAGGTGGTCTTAGTGACCTGAAAGCGTGACCGCAATGCACAAGGGACAAGTGCTTGAGGTCGATCACATACAACCGTTTTATGAGTAATTTTTGTGTTAGCTCCATACTTGTTGAGACCTTAACGCCGGAGACGGATATCTGTGCATTTTATAATCAAACTTTTCTAACCCCGACCCTGTTTATGAAAAGGCAGCATCACTGTTATGCTGGTTGTCTGAAGGAAACACCTTACTGCCGTCACACCTCTGTGCAGTCAGTAGTACGACTTCGTCTTCCGACCTTGTGTTTGTTGCTTTTAGTCTTACCGTTCTTCAACCGACCTCTCTGGCATGGTAGGATCTTGAGGAACGATTGTTCCAGCTCGTATAGCTCTATTGGTTCATCACGATAGGCAAGTTTGACCATCACGTCAAGGTAGCGACAACGGTCGGGAACAGAATGTGTGATCTAAAAAATATCACTCCATAGTATTTTTTTGTTATTTCTTGAATGTTTTTAATACTTACTCAGATCTCGTGTAACCGTAGTCTTATATTTCTCAATCCTCTCCGATCGGACCTTTATTAATTGACTTAGGTGATCTTTTGCCTTCGTTTCGTATAACTAAACTCAAAATTACAGTGTGGAATGATTAACTATTGTTGTTATTTGACAGTCTGCTGAAAACGGTTAGTATTCTATCAAATTCTTACAGATAGATAATTGATTCCATTTTGTTGAGAATACTTTTATTGATCTCATGGTACTTAACAGTGAGATTTATTAAATATATGTTGCTCTATAATATGTCTCGTACCAGAAGAACTATTGATTGTATTGTGGGAATGGTACTGCTGATGAATGTACCTTATGATACATGTACATGTATATGACACTTATCAATTGTATGTCTAAGAAAATGAAGAAGGTAGTTCATTTCAAATTAACACTGTAGGTAATACTTCATGGTATTACTATATCAGTCTAATGATCTGCTGTTAACTAATTTATTCCTTCATTAATTACTTACGCCTGTCACTACCAATAAAGTATAAACCGTCGACCAGCATTCTCCAACCCACTCTGTCCCATGCCTGCCTTTATAGTTCTATACAATTGATGCTCATTCTTCTCATGTCTGTCTGTCTACATTTCTCAGCATAATGTGTTCTTTGCTCTCCTACTCATCCTTTGGCCCTGAGAGTTCTATGTGATGGCTTGCCCTGTGACACAGTTCGGTGCTTTCCTCAATTTATGTCCTATCCACTTCCTGCACGTCTTCCTGATTTCTTCCTCCACTGGAATCTGCTTTGTTCTCTCCCATGGTAGGTTGTCTGGTCAACGGGTCCCAAATATTTTGCGTAGACAGCTGTGAATAAACACTTGTATCTACTGGATGATGGCTTTCGTAGTTCTTCAAGTTTCCATCCCATACAGTAGAATTGTTTTGACATTTGTATTGAAAATTCTGACTTTGGTGTTGGCTGACAGATAGTTGTTTTGAGTTCCATATGTTCTTTAGTTGTAAATATGTTTCTCTTGCTTTGCCGATCCGAGCCCTCATATCTACATCAGATCCACTGTGTTCATCAATAACACTGCTCAGTTATGTAAAGGATTTTACATATTCCAAATCTTTTCCATTAATTGTGATTCGTAGTATAGGGGTTGTGGAGATTGTTAAGTTTTTGATTAAGATCATGAACCGATTGATGTTAGACCACCACAATTGAAAACCTGGAAGCATTGAACGGCCGTTTCGTCCTATTGTGGGGCTCCTCAGCAGTGCGCATCCACGATCCCGCGAGCGGGATTCGAACCCAGAGCCTTCGGTCTCGCGCGCGAACGCTTAACCAACTGGACCACTGAGCCGGCATCCAATGGTGATAGTTTTCAACATCAATCAATTCCCGCGAGCGGGATCGTGGATGCGCACTGCTGAGGAGTCCCACAATAGGACGAAACGGCCGTCCAGTGCTTCTAGGTTTTCAATTGTGGTGGTCTAACATCAATCGGTTCATGATCTCAATCAAAAAATTGTGATTCGGTTGTTGCATGCTATGTTGTATCGGAGTATCTTGCTTTTCCATTTTTATATATTGAGATCCACTGCTACTGAGGCTGTTGCTACACTGATCGTCTTCTCCTGAAATTGTTGTTTTGTGTGTACAATGGAAGAGCCTGATCATCTGCGATGTCTAGATCGTTCAGCTGTATCATAGTGAATGGAATAGAATACATTTCTTAGAATAATAACTCATTTTAAGAGAATATAACAACATATATGATTAGGTTAACTTACCTTTAACAATACATTTAATTTGAGCAGTTTTTGTTTCAATGCCAGTAATTATACCTGTAGGATCTTGTCCTTCAATAAAGACTAATACTTTTGGTTCACGTAACCATAAACTAATATGTGGTGAAGAATAATAGGCTTGTGTTGCTTTTTGTATATCTTCTAAACGTACAACACAAAATATATTTAAACCTTGTGGTTTATCAGTTAATTTAGTAAAATATATCCATTCACCTTTAGGACCAGTTGATAAACTATCTGCTAATTGTGTATGTTTTATATCACGTCTTATTCCATTAGGATATTGAACAAACCAATCAATTCTATCTATAGTCACTGGTTTTCTAGTTGTATCTAATCAATGAAAGAATAGAAGAATTCATATGTATAAAGTAATGAATAAACAATTGGGTATGATATGTGCTAGTATTCACAATTGATTGATCACCGGGTGGTGATCAATGTCATGTGTGTCAAGTCCTTATTATTAGTGCAGATCGAATGCTATCGATCATGTTGCAATGTGGCCACCAGTCTAGGTGACTCGACACTGCATGCACTATTGTGAGATTAGATGGTGGTTGGATGTAGTCGACAGGAAACAATGGATCCGTGTTTCGTGCTACATGGCACTCGTTAGCAAGGTGTCCATGTAATCTTACTAGAACTGGTGCTCCCTGACGGATTCAATCCCGTGTCATCCAGCTTCACAATCAAAGACGTTACCACTGAGCTATTCGGGCCGCGACCAACTTCCTGTAGGACTGAGATGTTTTCACAATTGATTGATCACTGGGTGGTGAACAATGTTATGTGTATCAAGTCCTTATTATTAGTGTTAGTATACACAATTACAAAGTGTAAGTGTATTTTAATCGATAGAAGGTTATAATGAAGAATTTAGAGATTTACAAATTCTTTTCATAACATTCAAGGGCCAAATATATCAGTTGAAAATCTTTTAACATTTTGATGAAATTATGTTGTTTGAGCTGGATGGTTTGATCGTGGAGCTTTGATTGAAATCAGAACAATGATGAAAGCTCCACGACCGAATCATCTAGTTCAGAGGGCGAAACTCCATCAACATCGTCCACCTGAACTATAAATCTTCTCCACCATCTTTTCTCATTTTGATGGAATTTTGCTGTTTGAGCTGGATGATTCGATCGTGAAGCTTTTAACTTGTGTAATTATCATTTAGATTGAGGAATTGATCATAACTTATAATAGTGATTGAATCAGTGATTTCCATCTCATTGAACTATGTTTATCATGTTCACCTTAAGAATAGACGTTGATCGATTGAATACGTTACCGACTGACTTTTAGGATTCTTATTCCAAAAGCCACAAATAAAAAAGTGCCAATTTAGTACTGCTTAATGTTTAATAGTTCATCTATTGAAACAAAATCTTGATGAAGTGATTACACTAAATGTTCACATAAATCACGAGGTAAGCTCTCACTTGGAAATCTTGAAAGGAAGTGGAAAAGAGGAAAGTCGAAGAATACACTACATCAAGAAATGAAAAGATGAATAGCAACTGTAAATAACTGGAAATGATTACCCAGGACAGGGTTGAATGAAGAATGCTGATGGACGACCTATCCTCGTCCGCGAGGGCTAACAGGCGTAAGTATATATATATATATATATATATATATATATATATATATATATTCAGTTATAGAGATGAATTAAATGTTAATTCACTTACGTTTAACATCACATGTCAAATTCATATCACTTCCAGTAATACCGACAAGACGATCATTTATAAATGCATCACTCAATATTTTGGCATGAAGTTTTCGTTCATCCTTAGGAATAACTAAACAAATAAAAACAAACAATATCAGTGGTAGATAGGGTCTTGATTATTGTTTTAATTCTATAGAATAACTGATTTCGAGCTGGATAGAATCAAATCATCATTCATCAGAAACCAAACTACACTTCTATCTACAATCTTGAGATAGTTAGTTACCTTAATCGTCACAAATATCACTGACATATTCAGACATTCATCGTTTCATATCAACATTATATTAATGATACATACGAATTGTTAGATACAGAGTAGTGGACTAAAATTATTCCTTTCTTGAATAGAACATGGAAATAAGCAAATATGAGTGATGGCTAGCAGTGGAATATAGGACGTGCATTTCATCCTATTTGGGACTCGTCAGATGGATGTACCTGCATTCCACAGTTGATGATCACTCCTAGACTTGAACTCAGTACTGTTTACTTCAAACGCTATCGCTTTATCCACTGAGTCCTGATAGTCACCTGCCTGTACAATGGAGTAAAGTTTAAATTCACTTGGTATTATTTGATTGTATATTCTCATTATTGTTAAGGACTACAATTGAGACAGTCCGCATAGGATGCACATATGTCAGTTCGTGATGTAAATCCTCAATCTAATGCCTAACGCTAATCGTTAACAGTAAATCATAATTCTAATTCCTCACATTGGTTTATAACTGGTATTTGGTACTAGTTAGTAGGAGAACATTCTCAAGGTCATTTTGACGCCACTCGAATGTCGTCCATAAATTATCATCTACCCATGTTTTCTTTTAAAATCTAATTGGAATATAAACCTATAGCGTTTAATCGTAGAGTTTGGTATAGATATTTGGATCAAACGATGAAGTATATAATGATACTCTACTCAATTATGTGGTATAATTCAGTACTGAATATATTAATTGGATGCCTCATTCAGAGCTTCGTACGTATAAACATCAGTTCAACTTGCCATACTAAATTAACACATAGATAAAACTGTCTATTCAAATCCCATAGTGGTAGAGGTAGTAAAGGTATAAGCAGCAATCGAAAAGATTAACGTTTGGAGATGTTATTCAAGTCAAATAAATTTGGAAAGATAAAAAAGAGAGACAACGAGGAATAAGGAGATTAGAATTTGGGAGAACACAAAGAGTGGATGCACCTACACAATTCCAAACGATTTTGAGCCATGTCATTCAGGGTCTCTAACTATCGGTTGCTATCATCTCGCGGATCCCAATCAGATAGTCTACACCTACCAACATGGCTTAGTTCACTTGTCAGTAACTTCATAAATTTGTGCCATGTTTTTTTTATTTTGACACCCCTAGTCATTGGATACCTAATTAGCAAATCATCAAAATAATAAACATAAATAAACCGTAACTATTGAATATATGCTTACAATGATGACAGTATATGTTTAAATCCCCCCCAACCCGCCACATGAATAATGAGAAACAATATGAACTTACCAGATATTTCGACTGGTTTAGTTCTTTCACCATAGACACATTCAATTTTTTGTCCATCTAAGTTTAAATTAACATGATCTGTTTGTGCTAATGATGAATAAATTCTATGTTCAATTTTTAGATTATTTTCAATATCTGTAGTTGTTCCACGCCAACCATGAAATTCACTTGAAGGTCTAGCTTCAAATACACAATAAATCTAATAATAATGAAAAAAAAACACACACACACACAATTCAAATGAACTATGTCTGTAGAAGGAAAGACAAAACAATGAGATTATTCTTCATATAAAATCTCTTCTTCTCATACGTATTACTTCTAAATGAACAATGAACCAATAACCATTAAAGGTACGAGAAGAGAACTTATGGCCTTCAAATGCTTTGGTATGGCCGAGAGTGGGGAGAGTCAGCTCTCACACGACCATGTGCATACAACCACTGACAGAGGAGTCCTACTCACTGCCTTATCTCAACCAGCCGTGTTGTTTACGGAATTGAGGGGATGAAAAGCGAATGTCCAGCGATTTAACCAGGTTGGTGGATATGAAGGATCCAACCAGGGGAGTTGTAAATCCCTGATTCCAAATTAATGGTGCACATGGGCTCCAGTATCCTGGTGGAACAATTGGTGTATGAATCAGTCGTTGGTCACCGACTACCATGGGACTGCATCTCCTGACGTTGCTCCACTACTTTGTGGCTCAAGCGTTTTGGTCGAATGCTCAGGATGTGACCCCCTAAGAAAACCACCTGCTTCGGTTTAGGCACTCAGTCAGTATCCCAGCCCTCACACAAATCGAATGATTTATGTGGTGCATATCTATTTCGTGCCTTCTTGTACCATTGTCTATATGTTTAAATAAATAAATAAATATCCTGTCTGTGAAAGTCACTGACACAAATACAGATTGCGTTGCTGTTTGCATCTAAGAAGAATCTTTGTTAGTTAATCATCGGGAATATCAAGAAAATATATTTTGATCAATCCATATACTAACAAGTATATTATCATATCATATATATATATAGAGTTGTGATTTCTGCCTAACAGAATAATAATACAGAGTACTTATAGACTTACACGTAATTGTTCACCTTCAGAAATCATTATTTTTGCGCTTCCATCAAGTTCTGGAACAACATAAGTATCCGGTGAATATATATACAACCGGGTAAATGGATCTTCCGGTACTAAAGAATGTAGTAATAAAAAAGTGAGATGATCTTAAGATGCTTAAATAGTGATTCTTATAAATATACAACATATTTTATTAATTGCCTACCCTATATGTGGATAATTCAGAAGCTTTATATATAGAATTTCAATTATACTTTTATGGTTCTTATGAGTTATTGTCATGTTTTATACGTACTGTATTCCGTAGTACGAGTATTCAAGAATGTAGTCTCACATAAAATATTCATCCGTTGTCAAGATTATTAATGGGCGAGACTCTAATTTATTGACGAGCCAATCAGAAGCGTTTGAACAATTTCAAGGTCACGGAGCCAAGTTCAACATGCGACGCTAACATACGATTGGTTTACAGAGGATTTTAGAGAGGAGGTGATTAATGAGAGGTTACAACAGATGGGACGGCGGGACTCTAATTCAGGGACGAGCCAATCAGAAGCGTTTGAACAATTTCAATTATTAGCCAATCAGAAGACAGTATAGAGTAAAAATATATTATAAGAAAGTAATGAATTACAGTGGATATTCTTCTTTTACATGATTTGAAAACTTGTTAAGGTTTGATAAAGGTTCAGAGGTTCTGAATTCATAATGCATATTGTATAGAAACTCGTCCATAGGGTTAGGGTTTAGGGTTTACCGTTTAAAGTTAGGGTTAGGTTAGGGTGCTAAAATGTGATCGGTTTACAACGGACTTTAGAAAAGAGCTGTTTATTGAGAGGCTACAACCCTAACCTAAAAACTTTCCCTGACCCTAACCATAACCCTTACTCTAACTCTAAACCCTAACCCAAGGCTAAAAACCTAACCCTAGGCTACAACCCTAACCCAACCTCTAAAATCCCTTGTAAACCGATCGCATGTTAGCACCCTAACCCTAATCTAACCCTAGCCTAAATCCTAACCCTAACCTTAACCCTAACCCTAATCCTAACCTTAACCCTAAACCTAACCTAACCCTAAACCCTAACCTTAACCGTAAACCCTAACCCTATGGACGAGTTTCTATACCATATGCATTATGAATTCAGAACTTCTGAGCCTTTATCAAACCTTAACAAGTTTTCAAATCATGTAAAAGAAGAATATCCACTGTAATTCATTACTTACAATATATTTTCACTTTATACTAACTGTCTTCTGATTGGCTAATAATTGTCAAGGTCATTTAAGATTCGTTCAAAGGTCGTCCCTAAATTAGAGTCTCGCCTATTAATGTAAGTAATAACTCCCGGGGTTTTTGTAGATATTACTAAGAACTCATTAGAGAGTTATTGATAAATCTACTGAGTAAACAATTGAATCGGTTTCCTAAGTTCCTTTAATAACCCCAGATTAATTTTACATGGCAACTGGAACACGAGAGAAAAGGCATGTCATTTTGGAAAGAACGCTTTACCCTAAGTATAGTTTATGTATAAAAACAAAATTAAGGTATTTATAGCATTTCAGATGACCTTTTGGCTTCTAGAAGGTTCTGGAACCATCTTAAAGATAGTAGTTGGATAGGTAATTGTCTAATCAGAAATAAGACACGTGACTCTTCACTTTCTAAATATTTCTAAGATACTTTTATTCAATGCTAATTGGATATAAAATGTTTCCCAGTGTTTTAAGGGCCCTTCTGAGCTTTTTTGGGGGGGGATTTTCTTAGTCATCCCAATAACTGTGATCATAGACTGTAACAAATCAAATCGAGTTATAACGTCGTAAGATGCGCAAAACAACAAAAATTTTTTAAGTTACTTCTAAGGAAGCGGGGTCAGACTATAATTTATGAACGACCTTTGAGTGACGTCAAAGTCACCTTGAGAGTGTCTACCTACTTAATAGGGTTAAATGAAGTTTATAAAGTAGTTTGAGGAATAAAAATAATGATTTACAGTTAATGGTAAAGGTTAGGATTTAGATTTATAGTTTTCATTACGAACTGACATCAGCTAAAATAC